CACCGTAAACGTAAATCAGTAGGTAGGTGCATTTTTTATATATATATATATATATATATATATATATATATATATATATATATATATATATATAGTTTGACATTGCTTTTTGAAAATTTTTTTTCATGCAAATAAAAAACAGACTATCATTATTGTTTTTTCGTCTGTGTATTGTTAGATGTATTGAAATGTAATTGTCATCTTTGATAATGGCTTATGTAAGCCGAAAAAGGATATATTGGATTTAAACATGTGTTAATATGGTGATTTTCTGTCGCCTTTCAATGATACTGTTATTAAGGTAATCAGACCATATGAAAAGGAACTTACTTAAAATAAATAGACAAAACTTGTCTATATTATTTAATGAAACATGCATCAATGAAAATTGCTGCCTAAATATACACAATATATATATATATATATATATATATATATATATATATATATATATATGCAAATAAATAATCACACATAGAATCAATCAGAAGTATTAATGCGATTATTGGCGACATCCATCGCTAGAAACATAATATATGCATTAAAATACTGTTAATCCATAGAGCGAAGTGATCCTCGTCGGTAAACTTGATGTCTGTAGTTTTCAGTTTATTTGATGTTAAAATGCTAGTACTTACGAATAGTCCTCTATTCATCATCAGGCATGTGTTTTTTCCCTATAAATATATGTATATAATTAACTATTAAATTGTTGACATTAAATAGTTTTTAAGTTGTTTAAATTTAAACTATTTTTAAACAATTGTTTAAAAACTTAAACAATTGTAAAAAATATTAAATAATTATAATTTTATGGCTTTTATAAATACTGGTTTCTAAATAAAATTTCTATATTTGACATAAAAGATTTTCCTCAAGAACCAGTTCAGTATAAAAAGCTTTCCTCTTGTCATTTCTTTTCAGATAACTCTCATTTACTAATGTAGAAGCGCCTTGGCTACACATCGTGTTCACATCCATAATTTGTCACCGTAAATGTTCAGCAGTATGTAGGCGCATTGTTTTCATGTGGATGTATCAGATTTCATTACATACAAGTGTCATCGTGTCATTTTGTAGAAAGATTAATGAACAGATTCACATACATGAATCTATATTAATTTGCAGATTATATTGCAAAATATTCATAAATTATTATAGACGAGTTGTCCGTCTTGATATGTAAGGAGAGTTTGATGGATTTCGCACAGTTTTTCAAGCTTCAAACCATTTGCCAAATTATTCCAACTCCATAAATCATTATTCTCTAAGACAAATTATAATTATACAACTTGCGCGAACACTGCAGGTAGAAACATTGAAAACTCTGTAAATAGTGGACGTGTCAATGTCTCGTATCTCGTTAGCTTCTGCCGTGTCATTCAGACAACATATGACCGAACACTGCCGTGAAGCAGGATTGCACCACGCCGATAAATCCGTGCCGGTCGAATTTTGCATAAGTGAAAGAGCATTCCATCCAGTTGCGGTCAGTTAACGTTGATAGAATGCTAATGTTAGATTTCAGAAGGCTGTAAATGAAAATGTCAATGGTGGACCACCAGACAATCACTATAATCTGTGTTTGGGAGCTTTCTGCTCATGAGAGCGCATATTTTCTTCTAAGACTTCCCTAATATTCAGACGTCAAGACGAAAATAAATACAGTTTAATAAATAAACAGAGGCTCTACTCAAATATAAGTTCCCACTAAACATAGCGGTTTAGTAACAAAAATCTGTCGGATTAAGAAATAAAATCCAATCCTTCTTTCATATATATATATATATATATATATATATATATATATATATGTGTGTGTGTGTGTGTGTGTGTGTGTGTGTGTGTGTGTGTGTGTGTGTGTGTGTGTGTGCGCGCGAACGCGCCTGTATGTGTGTGTGTGCGAGCGAACGTCTATTTTGTTTGATCATGAGCCGTTCTAAGCTTCGTATAGGGGTTTCAAACTGTCCAACTTTTGGATATTTTTTTTCTTACACTGTTCCTCGATCTAAGATTTCGGTTTATTAGCCATCCTCAGAGTTGTTATACTGATATCACAACAGAGATGTTCACCATCAAAGATGATCCTGTTATGTTTACATAGAAGGTTGGGAGTTTGTTTTTTTTTTCATTTTCTCTTGAAACTAAAAACCACTACAAGATGCTTAGAACGGCTCATGATCAAACATAATAGACATTCGTTGTCTGTTATATTTAACAATATGTACTTGAATATCTATTTGTCTATATCTATCTATCTATCTATCTATCTATCTCTGTCTGTCTGTCTCTCTCTGTCTCTGTCTCTGTCTCTCTCTCTCTCTCTCTATATATATATATATATATATAGATAGATAATATTAGTGGTAAATATACATATACATATGCAAAATATATAAATATATATACACAGGTGCATACACATACATGTATATTTTTTGAATAAAAATTACAAAAGGATAGAATCCAGGTGAACTCAATGTCCAGGACAGGAATATTAGTGTTTAAGCCTTTTTATTATATATATATATATATATATATTGATAGTAATTGATAATTGATAGCTACAGCTGCTCGAATTGAGGAATGGGAGAGCCGAGTTCGAATTCCAGTCGGATCCATTCCATTCACTTAACGCGTGGAAAATGTATGAATCCTCTTCTGATAAATAGCGGGACAGACTGATTTCTATAGCCCTGGGTGCCAACAGTTCTAGGAATTCAAAACCGGTCTAAAGAGGGTTGAGCTCCGTCCGACTATCTTGGCTAATGTAACACTCTATCTACGGCAGCAGGAGTACATGTGGTGCCTTTACAACCTTGATGGGTCCAGGGACTCGCGGTCCATATTATTTTTTATAATAATTTATTATAATATTATTTTTCCCATCTATCTATCTATCTATCTATCTATCTATCTATCTATCTATCTATTTTTTCGATATTATTTCTTCTTATTATAAAAAGCGTTCATCATAATGAGAAAATGTGTCGGAAAAAACAGCCCTTGCTCTGTCATGCTGATCCAAACGGACAAATATAGTGATTCAGGTTCGATTTCTGTCGGAGGTTCAATTCTTAGTTTAGTAGGAGTTCACAATCCAGTCCGGTTGTTATTTATTTCAATGTTTTATAAAACACAGTGGAAGTGTGTCTAACGCGTGTACCCACTAAAATTAATAATAAGAAAAATATATGGTGTATTCAAGATGGTGTAATAAGAAAAATATATGGTAGATTTAGATGGTGTAATAAGAAAATTATATGGTGTATTTAGATGGTGTAATAAGAAAACTATATGGTAGATTTAGATGGTGTAATAAGAAAAATGTATGAGAGATTTAGATGTAATTTTACTTTTGTACGTGCGCGCGTCGTTGAGAGACGATAATGAACTTCGACACGCGTGTATAATCAGGTTTAGTTTCATGAGAGAAGACTAATATTTTATTGCACTAATGAAAAGAGAAATTGGAGATAAAAACGAAATTAAAAATTAAAAGAAAATACTTAGAAAGAACGAAATTAAAAAACATCCTTGAAAAGATTGATCAATTCGACTCTTTTGTATTGTCCACTAGTTAATGTGCATCGCGACGACATAAATACACCTTACATCATTCAAGTGAATGCACAGCATATGATCAAAAGGCCTATGATTTCTTTCTTTCTTTCTTTCTTTCTTTCTTTCTTTCTTTCTTTCTTTCGTTTCTTTCGTTTCTTTTCTTCAAATCTATCCAATCAGTTAAGCCATCCTGATACGCTGTTGCCTTCGTTATAATGTCTGTTTTTAAGAGGATATTTTTTCCATCCAATTTGCGTATCGAGTAGGGTGGATATTTGATTAGATATCGATCTAATAGGTGCTGAAGAAAGACAATCATCGGTCTCTTGAGTAGTAAAAGACAAATACTTGCACATCAATAAGTAAGAAGGCACACCCAGACGCGCGCGCGCGCACGCACACACACACAGACACACACATATATATATGCGAAGTTAGATGAATATGTCCCCAGGCATGTAATTATTAGCTGAATAGATATCCAAAATTTTCCCTGTATAATGTTCAATCAAGACAGTTCCTGTTTAATACAAAAGTAAGTACATGGGAATTATATTGAAGCCGATTCTAATAAGTAAATGATTTTTATCTGTTTGAGGATTAGAAGCCATAGACAAGCACACACATATGTACACACACAGGCATACAACATCCCAAATATAGACACACACACACATACACAAATATATATATATTGTAATTAAATATATAAAATTTACGTTTACTGCAATATATATATATATATATATATATATATATATACGTTTTATATAACACATATTACAATTATAAGTAATAAAAAGATATTCTATAAAACAGAGTTGGAAATGTAAAATATACAAAAGTACAAAATTTAATATATCCTTTTATATTTAATGAATAAAATTAGTGTGTACTTGTGCATGTGTACCAATACTTCCAACATTATTTCAGTTGATAGACGTTTTTGAAATATTATTTGAAGTAATAAAACTATATATATAAATACATGAATTATATATATATATATATATATATATGTGTGTGTGTGTGTGTGTGTGTGTGTGTGTGTGTGTGTGTGTAATGATTCATCACTTGTGGTCTTTGCTAGTGCTATTAGCTAATCCATCTAGCACGCATTTGCTCAGTATATTTTATCTTTTTTTTTATTCAAAACCCACCCAACTCATGCAGTTTACAATGCAACTATACAGATTGGACTACCGAATCTATCTATCTATCTATCTATCTATCTATCTATCTATCTATCTATCTAACTTTTCCGTCTGTTTCTTTCTATCTCTCTCTCTATCTATCTTTTTCCGTCTGTTTCTTTCTATCTATCTCTCTATCTATCTTTTCCCGTATGTTTCTATCTATCTATCTCTCTATCTATTGTGGAGACCTAACTACAAATGGACTTTTCCACACCTTTATAATATGGCTACCAACTCTGAGTAAAGGGAGTCACCAAGTGAGGGTCACCGAGTAGTAGCCATGAAGTGGATGAGTGAGTCAGGACACCAGTGAGAGAAAGTACTCTCCAGTCCACATTTACCTTTGTACGACGTTTCCGAGAATATACTATTTAACCTATATTTCAAGAGTCCATATTGTCTTACTGGTTCCACACCCATAACACTATCTATCCCTGTCTCTCGCTCTCTGTCTCTCTCTCTCTCTCTCTCTCTCTCTATATATATATATATATATATATATATATATATATATATATATAAAAGTTCTATCTATCTATCTATCTATCTATCTATCTATCTATCTATATATATATATATATATATATATATATATATATATATATATATATATATATATATATAATAAAAAGGCTAAATACTAATATTCCATGGTCATAATTTATTCCAAACATATACAAACATGTTTTTTCTGTTTTTTTTTTTGAATTTGTAGGTCTGATGAATTGGATCATTTTTTACGATTCCAATGGAATAAATTATGACCATGGAATATTAGTGTTTAAGCCTTTTAATATATCCTTACTCTGTCCTAGACATTGAGTTCTGCCTGGATTCTTCCTCTTGGAATTTTATTCAAAAATATACATGTATGGGTATTTATATATTTGCATATGTATGTATATTTACCATTAATATATATATATATATATATATATATATATATATATATATATATATATATATATATATAGAGAGAGAGAGAGAGAGAGAGAGAGAGGGTTGATCTGCATATGCTGATCAACTTATGATGTACTACCGATAATTGCAAACAGTCTATCAAAGTCTAGATATATACGGTGAAGCCCGGGCTGTAGCTTTAGACATCTCGAAAGCTTTTGACAGGGTCTGGCATTTAGGTATTCTCCACCTGCTAATAGGTTACGGTGTGTCCAGGAACGTTTTTAAGCTGATCCAGTCGTTCCAATGAAATCGTTAAAAGAAAAATGTCCTGAGCGCCCGTTCATCTACATCCTTTCGTACTAGCGCGAGTGTTCCCCCAGAGTTTCATCTTTGGTCCTACGCCGTTTTTAATCTTCATTAACGACCTTACCGATGACAATAGCTCTCTCAACTTGACACTAACATGATGTCACTAACATTTACTCCTGCATCGATAGTAAGGTTGATCATTCAGACAACGCCAAAATGGCAAGTGATGTACAAAACGATTTCAAGTTCGTCAATTTTAACACCTCCAAAACTAAACTTCTTTCCATTAATCATCTGAAAGAGCCATCCCTGCTTTCCATGGCTGATGCTGTCCGACGGGGGAGTGATTCTTTGAACATTCTAAGGTTAATGTTCCCAGATGGCATGGGGTGGAAAGACTACATTGAATCTATTGATAGTTCAGCTGCGAATAACATCGTTTGTCTATGTTGGTCGAGAGAATTTTTCTCTCCGGAATCTGTCTTGAATATCTATAAGTCAACGATTTGTTCATGCTTAGAATATTGCTGCCATATACACTCCCGTGACACTGCTATTTACCCGGAGCTCCTCGATAAGATCCAAAGAAGAAAAAGCAATGTTTTTGTCCTGATTTAACGAATCGACTCCAGTATTTGCCCACTTCAGTAAGGTTGCGCCTCTGTGAATTTTTTCATAAATATTTTCATGGTAATTGTTCGGGTGAGCTCTTCGCTATGGTAACTAGATTGTATGGATGTAAGCGCAATACGAGACTAGCGGCGAGATCTCATCAAATGAGAGTTGAGCTAGCTAGATGTAACCGAAACTTCAATGCTAACAGTTTCTTATCTCGCATTTCTTTTGCTTATGGAACTCTCACTGGCTACATTCATTCCAGCCAAGTTTAATCGGAAAACATTGAATGCAATGCCATTTGCTATCAACTGTTTTCCTGGCTACTCTTTTCATTGTCTCCTCATTACAGTTTCTTTTCCTATTTCCTCCACCCCCTGTAACCCTTTGCGTGCTAGTGCCTGTACTGCATAGCTTAGGGCGATAGAATATTTTCTATGAAAATTTCTCGGACATTCAGACCGGTAAATGTTATTTACTACTGTTTATTATAAACAGAGCATTTACTTAAATACTTGTATCTATAAAAGAACGTTAAACATAAAAATGTCTTTAAAAATAAATTGTCCATTTCTTAATATATATATATATATATATATATATATATATATATATATGATCTTCAAGTATTACCCATCCAGCAAGAAGAACCATCTAAAATTAAAACAAATATAATTGAAAATATCAAATATATATATATATATATATATATATATATATATATATATATATATATATATATATATATATATTATAATTCATCGAGCTAACGGTCAATAAGCAGACATGGCGCTTAGGACACAGTTCCTCGGTTATCTGAATATTTGGAAGAGTATCGCTGCAAAACTGAGTGAGTAACGGCGCCATATTGAATCTAGTTTGTCTTCTTCGTCAGCAAAACCCGTGGTACAGTTGGTATGACGTTTGCGTTGCATCGAATTGATCCGGTTTCGATTCTCGGTAGTATATGCGTTGATTTGGGACATATTCCTGCTTATGAGGAATATGTGCATGAGCGGCGCTTTATTGAGCCTGATTTGCTATCTCTTCGTCACCGAGGCCCGTTGGAACAGTTTCTTTCAGACTCGATGAATTACTTTAGTTATAATTATCAAATCCTCCCAATAATTTCTATCATTGGTTGAACCGGGTTCCAATGCTGAAGTTTGAGCGACTTGGTGATTGTAGTCGTGGCTCCTGGGGGCACAGTCCTATGGTTAGAGAGAATCTCAGTTGAGTTCCGCCACGGAATATATGAGCGAATGCCGCTTTACTGTGTCTGGTTTTTTACCTCCTCGTTCGTTGGCAGGTTGGAACATTTGGTATGACGTTTGCATGATAACATAATTGCCAGGGTTTCAATTCTCGGTAGTGGATGCGCAAATATAGGACGAAACAGCCGTCCAGTGCTTTATGCATTCTGTTGAGGTTTCTTTCTGAAGCGATGAATTACTTTATATTATATATATATATATATATATATATATATATATATATATTCGAGCGCGTGTGTATAGCAAAAGTAGACATACACTCAGGTCATATCTTTCCTACGTCGCAACACTTTGCACAAGTGTATCACTCACGCGTTCCTTAAAATAAGCATTTGTTTCTACATACCTTGATGATGAGATAAGAAATTCGAAATCTTGGAGGATATTTCTCCCGAAAGGAATTTGGATAATTTATGATAGAATTTCTTCCCTATCTGAAAAGGATTATTCGTAAATTTGGAGAACCGCTCAATCAGATATATAGAGCGAAAATGTGTTTCTTTAATATCATTTGGCATAAAGAAAATTTGCTGCCTAAGTACACAAGATATATATGTGTGTTTGTGTGTCTTCTCAGTCACTGCTAAATATTTCCTTATAAGGAAATGGTTAATATTACCATTACCATTACCAACTATTCTGAAGACATAAACTACCAAATGTTTTCAAAAAATACCTGCAATTCATAGAAATTGATGCTACTTATTTACTAGAGGAACAATTTTGGAAGATATTCGAAATACTCAGTGTTATACGCGAGATTAGTTGAACTCGATTGATCAATATGTTTAAATTCCTCAGCATATAAGTTATTGTCCTATGTGTTCCCCCACACAAACGAACGCAGACGCACACATATTCAAGTCTGTGTTTCTATATGTGTGCCTTTTAAACATATGCTTATAAACACGCATCTTTATATGAGATCTACGTATATATGCAGACACGTATTTTTTAATGTTCAGTACATTTTTTTGTTGTTTAAGTGGCGTCTGTCTTTATCTCAAATCAGAAACAAGTGAAAACGGGTTCTTCACGTGAAATTGTTGACTAAATGTAAATGATTAAAGTGAATGGCTTTTACCTTTATATTTAATCCGCCTACATGCTTTCAATCTCGCATCTTGTATTATACTAGATTGGCTTGTAAGTAAAGACATTAAGAACACTATCTACGCTGCATTAGTCGTTATCCACATTCGATACACGCGATTACGTTCTGAGAGAGAAAGAGAGAAATAAATATATATATATATATCTACATACATATTTACAGATATCTATATACATACATATATCTATATACATACATATATATATATATATATATATATATATATATATATATATATATATATATATATATATATATTTTATTTCATTTTATACCATTTCCAAGATTGCCGAATAGTGAAAATCCACTGTAACACGCTACTGGGGCTGTTCAAGCACTTATATGTTAAATGTGGTCACTCGAAAATCAATATCGATTTTCGCTCACTGTTTTGGGGAAAACTAATTCTTCTAGAAACGGACGTCGTATAATGACAAAAACAAAAAAGCAAACCAAAAAAAAAAAAAAAAAAAACCAAAACAAATAAACTGTTGAAACAAAAATAGCCTACCTTTTCGAAGAAATTCCGGCACACAAATCATCATCAACCAATGAAGTTTTCCCCAAGAGCTCTTTTTTTTTGCAAAATAAAAAGAAAATACAGCTTTATATGACGAACTAATACTTTTAAAGCACTTCGCAAAAGAATTCTCACAAAAGTATTGTAGCCTCATCATCAACAAATGCTCATCGATGAATCCCTTTGCTGTTGACTTCAGTATAGATACCGGCTTTTTAATGTTTTCACCTTGATCTTTCAACTTGTGAGTTCTCCGGGCTTCCGGAAATGGTTACTGCTATTTAACTATCCCAGGAGCACGAAAAAAGAGTTCAAAGGGAGCAGAATCAGGAGGACAATACGAGTTTGAAAACGTCTGTTATTTAACGTTTGGTCTCTTGAGATCATCAGCTCTCTCACTATTGTTCGATGTTCTGCGATAAATTATTATCATAATAATCATAATACTTTGAATATAATACTTATTCTCATTGTCTACATGCTTACAATTGTCTTCACCTTTTTT